AAACAACTTCAAGACTAAACTGTATATAAATTGTAAAAAAAAATTTAATTAATAAAATACAATTAAATAAATAAATGATATAAACAAATTAATTAATTATTAAAAACACAAATGGACAAACAACTTCAAGACTAAACTGTATATAAATTGTAAAAAAAAAAAAAAATTAATAAAATACATTTAAATAAATAAATTATATAAACTAATTAATTAATTAATTAATTATTAAAAACACAAATGGACAAAGACAACTTCAAGACTAAACAGTATATAAATAAATAAAAATGATTAATTAATAAAATACATTTAACTAAATAAATTATAAAAACAAACTAATAAATAAATTAATTAATTAAAAACAAAAATGGACAAAGGCAACTTCAACTTCAAATTTAAATAAATAAATAAACTAATAAATAAGAAGAAAACCAACGGACAAAGAAGACTAAACAGTCCATAAAAATGAATAAACAAACAAACAAACAAACAAAAACAAAAAAAGCAGAAACTGCATTGTTGGTGTGGATTTGGCCTCAGGTCTCACCTCCAGTAAATGAGCCGTCAGCGGCCTCCAGAGAATCTCGATCCGGTCCATATTAACCAGTCCGGTCTCTAACAGTTTGGCCACTGCGAATAGAGACGGCTCCTAACCGCAGAGACAAGAGCGATAGAAAGATGACAGCTGGATGATGATGTTTGGATTAAACGAATCTGTGATTAGCCGTAGCATCTGAACGCACCTTGTTGTTTCCGTAAGCCATCTCCATGGCCTCCATGGATAAAGAGCACAGAGCGTTTATCAGGTGATGCAGAGACACGTCATCCAGGTATCTACAAACACACACACACACACACACACACACACACACACACAGAGTAATCCTACAACTGAGCTACAGGAACACTTGTTGTTCACTGTTATAATCTACCTAAACAATGACACTCATGGATTTGATACTAAGTAAATAAAATAAACTGAATTATTTCTATTCTGATGTTGGCGGATTCTTACTGTGAGCTTTCAAAGAGTCTGGAAAGGATATTTGATATGACGGGTAGATCGGTCATCACCGCTGTGGTCAAAACCTGCGACAGAAAATAAATAATCACCATTATAATGTCATTAACATTTAGTATCCTCTTCTCTAGCTTGCTTCCTAATCTAGAGGTCTAATAAACAGAGTATTGTATATTATGAATATGTGACACTGGACCACAAAACCAGTCATAAGGGTAATTTTTTTTTTAATTGAGATTTATATATCATCTGAAAGCTGGATAAATAGCTTTCCATTGATGTATGGTTTGTTAGGATCGGACAATATTTGGTTGAGATGCAACTATTTGAAAATCTGGAATCTGAGGGTGCAAAAAAATCTAAATATTGAGAAAATCATCTTTAAAGTTGTTCAAATTAAGTTCTTAGCAATGCATATTACTAATCAAAAATTAAGTTTTGATATATTTACAGTAGGAAATTTACTAAATATCTTCATGGAACATGATCTTTACTTAATATCCTAATGATTTTTAGCATAAAAGAAAAATCTATAATTTTGACCCATACAATGTATTGTTGGCTATTGCTACAAATATACCCCAGCGACTTAAGACTGCTTTTGTGCTCCAGGGTCACATATTGCTTTTGATCCTCTTTTGTAAGTCACTTTGGATAAAAGCGTCTCCTAAATGCACAAATGCAAACATTTATGAGGAGTCCTAGAAAGTTGCATATATTTAGACAACATTTTTGGCCATAACAGACTTGTTTCAAGTCACCTAAAACATTTTTTTTGAGCATTAGTGAGCAATATCTTCAGGTAAAAAGTGTTTCCTACTAGACAAGAATGCTGGTGACTTGGAAAACATCTATGATGCTTAAAAATGCTGCTGACTTAATACAGTCCTTGATTAGGCCCCTCAAATAAACCCTGTTGTCTAGCAGCTTGCCTATGGCGCACACAAACGCTGCAGTCTCAGAAAGCGCCTGTGATGCTCAAAATGCTTTCTAGGTAGGCAGCTCACTAGGCTTTAAACAAGGGCTGATATGAGTTTTTACCGTGCTCGGACCCTCCACAGCTCTCCCGGGCTTCAGAACTCCACCAACAGCTGGTTTCAGACCCAGAATCCACACCAGATGCTTACAGAGAAAAAGAGAGAAAAATGAGTGAATGCCAAATACAATCAGGAAAAAATAAAAATACAGTCATGAATGTTTCATATATACAAATATGCAATCATGAATGTTTCATATATACAAATATGCAATCATGAATGTTTCATATATACAAATATGCAATCATGAATGTTTCATATATACAAATATGCAATCATGAATGTTTCATATATACAAATATGCAATCATGAATGTTTCATATATACAAATATGCAATCATGAATGTTTCATATATACAAATATGCAATCATGAAATTAATGTTTACAATCAAAATACACAGGGATTAATCACACTAGAAATAATGTAAAGGCTTAATTAACCCAAGTTTACCCAGGGTTACACTCTCCCCCTGCTTAATATTCTCATGTCCTCATGAGAGGAGGGATTATATCTGAACAGTGGCTT